AAGCGATCCTCTCACCTCAGCCTTCCAAGTAGCTGGGACTACAGGTGCATACCACCACACCCAACTAATTTTTTTTTTTAATTTTTTTGTAGAAATGGGGTTTTACCACGTTGCCCAGGCTGGTCATGAACTCCTGGACTCAAGCGATCCACCCGCCTCAGCCTCCCAAAGTGCTGGGGTTGCAGGCTTGAGCACCCTGCCTTCTGATTTTAATGTTGTTGAATTTACCAGTATTTTCTGATGACTAATGAAGTCAGGCACCTTTTCATAAGTGCTTATGGACCTGTTGGAGATTCTCTTTGGTGAAATACCTTTTCAAGTCATTTGCCTATTTTGCTGTTTTGTTACCTGCCTTTCTCTGAGTTGTAGACATTTTTACCAACACAGTTAGGAGTCCTTTGGATTTGCAGGTTTCTTTTTTCATGTCATAGTTTGCCTCACACTCCCCTAATATCTGTTGATGAACCAGACAGAAGTTCTTCTTTTTAACAAGCTCAAATTTATCATTTTTTCCCTTATGGTGAGTGATTATGTGGTCTGTTTCATAATTATTTGCTTACCCCAATGTCATGTCTTTTGATGGGGCACATGTATTCAAGGCCTTTTTCCTCCAGCTTCTGTGCTTTTTACATTCTGTGCTGTAAGACTGATGTTTTGTCTGTTTGTAATTATCCAGTTATGCTCATTTATATTAAACAAAGTGAGAATTTACAAGTAGAAACGTCATTTCCAAAAAATGCTGGGAGTCATCATGTCAAAATTCATTCAACTCATTGGGAGTTTTACCTCAAGCAGCAACCAAAGGCTGGGCGCAGTGGCTCACGCCTGTAATCCCAGCAATTTGGAAGGCCAAGGCAGGTGGATCTCTTGAGCCCAGGAGCTCAAGACCAGCCTGGACAACATAGTGAGACTTCGTCTCTATAAAAAAAAATCTAAAAATTAGCCAGGTATGGTGACACATGCCTGTAGTCCCAGCTACTTGGGAGGCTGGGATAGGAAGATTATGTTAGCCCTGGAGTTTGAGGCTGCAGTGAGCTATACTCATGCCACTGTACTCCGTCCTCTTCAACAGAAAGAGACTTTGTCCCCCCTCACCAAAAAAAAAAAAAAAATCAGTCAAAACTTTTTAGCTATTCACTGACTAGTCCCATCCCGCCTTAGTTAAGGTTCTGAGCAGGCATAGAACAAATGCCAACCCAAAGCTATAGTCCCTTGGCTCCTGCCCAGAGAAACCTTTGATTCTTGAGTGTCTTTTCCTAGCTAAAAGATACAGCTATGGGTACCTGTCTCTATCCTTTGTAGATTCTTGGGGCCAGTTACAAGAGGTTAGATTTTTTTACCTTTTCATTGAAATGACAAAAGTTAGCCATCAATCCAGCTTTGAAATCTGACTTTGTTGAAATTCTAAACCAGGATGATTGAATATTAGGCATAATCAAGATTTCCTTTTTTAATCATAGGTCACAGAAACACCCTGCCATGACACATATGAGGGGGCCTTGGCTACCAGTGAAGAAAGTGACACGGACTCATTGAATGAAATGTTTCCATCAGGTTAGTCCCCATTTAGGAGCTAGACTGCCTAGGTTCATATCCAGGTGTTCCTCTGCTTTTGAGCTGTGTGGCTTTGGGCAGGTCACTTAACCTTTCTGTGCTGAGTTTTCCCATCTGAAAACAGGGGAAATTAATGTCCTTTTCCTAGAGTGGACATGAGATTTCAATGAGATAAACCCATGTAATGCTAAGAACAGTGTCTGACACACAAACTCAATAAATAGCTGCTGCTGCTGCTGCTATTATTTTAAAGATCATGCTGATAGACTGTAGACATCATCTCTTTCTCACTTGAATGTGAGGATTGCCAGCATTTCATAGCTCACCTCCTCAAGGCATGCATGATTGACCATGGAATTCCACTTTCCACTTCATTAAGAAAAATGGAAACCATGTCATAATATGAATGCCCTCTCAAATGTATCAGTGACTCCCTTACGAGTAGGAACGACTTTGTAGTAGCAGTAATTGGCATTTGAGAAAACACTATTTGTCCATATTTTTCCTGCCAGTGGATATTAAACAGGTGAGTCAGGCCCTCTACTAGGTGCTGGGGATGAAGCAAGGTGGAAAGACATGGCCTCAGCTCGAAGGAGCCATAGCCAGTGGGAAGACAAACATATGAGCAAACCATAATACTGCCACAAGATGATGGGGTTAAAGGAAGTTTGGTGAAAATACAATGAGAACATAGCAGTAGGAGTCTCTCAGTCTGCCTTAGGGCATTGAGGAAAGCCAAAGGTAGGAGGTAACATTAGAGGTAAGACGAAATGCACAAACAGAATTGGCCAGGTGAGTGATCACGGAAGGGGCAAGAATCTTGAGCAGTCTTCTCTCTGGCCTGTTATTCTTTCCTAGCAAAGTAAAAAGGACAAGTTCCTTAAAGGTAGCCTCTTGGTGCCTCGAGGGCAGGATGAGTGTGTGTGCTGAGCACTGGCCCGGGACATGGCTTGGGAAGGTAAAACAGCTGTGGGCTGCTGCGCCTGCCTCCCAGGAGTACCACTGCTTAACTCTTCCTGCCTTCAGACAGGTGTCACCTCCTCCCCATGCCATCAGGATCACAGCCTTCACTTTTTCTTGAATTAATTATTGAAACTCCATATTTAATTGTGGTTTTTTTCCCCTAGGCAAAGATCCATCTTCCAGATTGAAAATGTCAATTAAGAATATCAAGAAGATGCCGCCCAAGCTTGTATTTCTACGAGACAGTAACAGCCAGGTCTATAAAGAGCCAAAGACATATTTTAATAGTGATTTTAAAACCTTCAGACCAAAAAGCGCGAAAGGCACTTCAACACAGGCAGTCATTTCAAGGTGAGTCACTGAGCCAGCTTATCTAAATAAACTTGGCAGGATTATGATTGACATTCTTGGAATGCTAAATAATATTATCTCTTGAGCTCATGTTTGTACCAAACATGATGTCATGTATTTGACTTAACAGAAATAAACTCATCCCCACAACAGCCTTGCTAGGTAAGGATCATCATCCCCATTTATAAAGACAAGGAGACTGAGGTGCAGAGAGGCTAGGGGCTTCATTTGCCCAATATCCTGCTATTAAAGGGCTGAGCCCAAATTCAATTCCAGATATGTCTGGCTCCAAACTTTACTTTCGTTCACAGTGATTAATGTTATCGCATAAAGTCAGGCAATAAGACATTTACTGAGTGATTGCTATCTACCAGGTATTTTATATTACCCGTTTCAATTATCATCACAACTCTGAGTGTGACAGTAATATCCTCATTTTATTTATTTTTATTTTTTATATTTTTTAAGAGAAGAGGTTTCACCATGTTGGCCAGGCTGGTCTTGAACACCTGGGCTCAAGTGATCTGCCCACCTTGGCCTCCCAAAGTGCTGGGATGACAGGCATGAGCCACTGCACCCAGCCATAATATGCTCATTTTCATTGTAAGGAAACAAGGTCAGAGGTTAGGTCAGGAAAGCAGGAACCAATTCATGGAAAGGAACGCTATTCACCTGCAAGGCCCACAGGAACAGGAGTCTGCTGAGAGGAGCAGTGATGTGGAAGGAGCACTAGAGCTAGAGAACCTGCACCAGTTCTGTCACTACATGTCATTGGCCACATCCTTGACCAATCTGAGGGAGGGACAGGGTTTCTGGAGTCCCACGTGCTTAGCTGCTCCTACTCCTAGTGCTTCCCTGGGACCAAGGGCTTTCTGGAGTACAGTTTGAAAATCAGTGTGTCTGTGAGCTCTAGGGTTCCTTTTAGCCATCCTGTTCTATGATTCGGAAAATATTTTTTTAATTCCAAGGCATTTCTTAGAAGTTAATCAAAGGACAGAGCTTCTTTTAGGACAGAGCCTTGGTGTGTGCGAATAATTGGGATTCTAACCAAACTGTCTCTTTCCAGACCATCTACCAAAGGAATGACCAGTCGTACAACAAAAACCAGAAAGGCAGATGAAACCAATACCACCAACAGATGCTCTGTTAGTATGAATTATGAGCAGCAGCATATCTGTGATAAGATTACCAACATTGTAAGTCACACCAGACTGTCTTTGTCACATTTTTCTCCTGACAGCCACAAACAAAATCTGGATTCCATGACATCTTGCCAAAGCCTCCAGACACCTGGAGACGATAAGAGAAGCAGCAAACCTGTTTATCCAATTCAGGTAACGCCTCATCTCATCTACCTTTTTCTTGAAAGGCAGTTGACCCTGAAACCCCCTCCCCTCCTTCTAGCTGTTCCAGGGCAGTCTTTGCACCACATAGCTTTGGAAGAGAAGAAGACAGTTACGGGTCTGCAGGAATGATGTGAGAGTCTTCCATTAAGCTGGTTTTGAGAGAGTAGAGAGTAGATGACTTGATTCTAATTTTTATGTCCCACATTTCCTGCCAGATATAAAAAATAAGTTCTGGCCAGGTGTGGTGACTCACACCTATAATCTCAGCACTTTGGGAGGCCAAGGTGGGCAGATCACTTGAGGTCAGGAGTTTGAGACCAGCCTGGCCAACATGGTGAAACCCCCAGCTCTACTAAAAATACAAAAATTAGCTGGATGTGGTAGTGCATGCCTGTAATCCCAGCTACTTGGGAGACTGAGGCAGGAGAATCGCTTAAACCTGGGAGGCGGAGGTTGCAGTGAGCTGAGATCACACCACTGCACTCCAGCCTGGGCGACAGTACATGACTCTTTCTCAAAAAAAAAAAAGTTCTTTTCAAGCTTACATCTCAGACTCCTCTTAGCTCCTGGTTTGCTGGTTGGTTGGCAAGCACGCAAACATTTGCTTAGCGCAGAATATTAGGGAGGTCTTTGAAATAGCCTCAACCTGTGTTTCTAAAACCGGAAGCCCCTTGTTTTTCTTTCCTTGAGAAGCTCTCTTTGAAATTGAGAACCACCTTGGGCTTGGTCGGGAGCTGGGGGATCATTTATAGGATCACCAGTATGTCAGCAACTCCAGGAGCATGTGCCCTGAAGTGAGGCCAGGGACAAGTTGCTGTGAGACTAGTATCTTCTCTACTCATCTTTCTTTTATTTTTCCCTTTGGTCAGATATGTAAACTTTTCTCAGCCTGGGAGGTAAATACATCGTCCACTTGGATAACTCAACTCCTGGGCCATCAGTCCTCAAATTTTTTGCTTCTGACTTGAACCTGGCAAAGGATGTGACACCGAAAAGTTAAGGAAGCTTCAGAAGGTCACCTTGATGTATGTCTTAGAAGATGCACAAATCATCTTGTTCTCTTGTTTCTAAGCAAGAGTTCTGAGTAAAGTGTTGTTTCTGTTTTGTTTGGAAAATCACCATTGTCTCTCATCTTGTGTTTTCCTATCAACGTGTTTGCTGGAGTGAGTGTGTATCAAGGTTGCTTTCCTGAAACTGTAACTGTAGAGTTTCTAGAAGAATCTGATTGCAGAACTAATTCTCTTTCAGTATATATTTGAAATCTTAATTTTTTTTTTTTTTTTTTTTAAATTTAGGTTTTCGCCCTGTCACCCAGGCTGCAGTACGGTGGCACGATCTCAGCTCACTGCAACCTCCACCTCCTGGTCTCAAGGAATTCTCCTGTCTCAGCCTCCTGAGTAGCTGGGATTACAGACATGCACCACCACGCCTGGCTAATTTTTTGTATTTTGAGTAGAGATGGGGTTTCACCATGTTGGCTAGGCTGGTCTTGAACTCCTGGCCTCCAGTGATCCACCTGCCTTGGCCTCTGGAAGTGCTGGAATTATAGGCCTGAGCCGCCACACCCGGCCAAGTAATGCTTTTTCTGTGTACCAGTGACAATTTCGACAGCTTAACACTCACAGTTGATCTTGTAGAGAACATAATAGATTATGCAAGGGCCGCTCACAAGAGCTGTGTCACATTGTTTCTAATATACGAAAACCAAAGGTTACAAAATACAGTAAATTGTATTTTACCATTATATATGTATATTTTTAACTCTACCCATCTGTGCCAGTGAGTATACAGGCAGTAATACCTTCAAATGTTGGGAGTCCTGTAAAACTCCATCTTGGAACAGTCAGCACCTTTCATGCTTTGTCAGTGTTTCCTTTGGAAGGATACATTGGGGTTTATCTACAGAAATATATATTCTTTTTATTGTGTACATAAAGGAGTACATGGCTGTTGTCTCATGGGTAATGTTTAATTCCTATAAATCTTTAAAGTATTTTTCTGCCTGTACTCTCCAGTTCTGTCCTTGAGTATACACTCAGGCTTGAGATGTAATCAAAATTTGCTTGCCTTTCCCTAGCCACTGGCTGTCAGTGAGTTCCCATGATGGGCACACAGAAATGCACACAGATGTACATACATGTATGCATGCACACACCATATATGTTTCCATAAAACTCAAATGCAGATTAATTGTCCTAATGCTAATGAATTTTCAGTGTTGAATTGCAAGTAGTCCAAACCAGGTCAGTGTTCCTTTTGGCCGCCAGTGTTGGATTAGTAAAAGGCAGTAATTCTTTCAGATTTCCTGGTTCTTTGCCACTTAGAGTACTGTGCCTTTGATATAGAATAGAGCAGGTTACCTTTGGTTTAAACACTATTTTTATATACTAGCTCTTTCATATATAAAGCAGAGACAATCATCCTAACAAATGAATTTCTGTTATTTTTCTGCACAAATGTCATGTTGAAGCACTCTGTTACAGTTCCAAATGTGTGCTATATGAAGTAAACTTTACAGGTAAAACAGGGTTTTTTTCATTATAATACTAAAAAAAAATGTACTGGTGGTGGTATAAAGGCGACACCAATCATTGGCCAAGCTATGAACACAGGCAGCCAGCAAATTCAATGAACAAGGATGAAATCTTCTGATCTTCCTCTTCATCTAGTTGGTGATTTGGCAGAGTTCCACTTCTGGAATAGAAAGATATGAGGTTGTTTGTTTGTTTGTTTGTTTTAGAGACAAGATCTCACTCTGTGGCCCACGCCGGAGTGCAGTGGCATGATCATAGCTCACTGCAGCCTCAAACTCTGATGTTCATGCAGTCCTCCAGCCTCAGCGTCCTGAGCAGCTGGGATCACGGGCATGACACCATGCCTGGCTTTTTGTTGTTGTTTCCCAGGCTGGTCTTGAACGACTGACCCTAAGTGATCTTCCTGCCTCAGCCTCCAAAAGTGCTGTGATTACAGGCGTGAGCCACCACACCCAGCCTAGATGTGCATTTCCAAACTCTGGTTGTCTTCCTGCAACTATTTCAGTGCTTGTTACTCTTCCCTGTTATGGTTCTGTTGTGTAAGTTGAGGCTTATTACTACAGTATCTTTTGATTTTTTTTTTTTTTAAATATGTTTTGTTGTTTCTTTCTTGCCCTGTTTTATGGTGCTGACCTTGCTTTTTTACATCATAATAAAAATCATATAACCTAAAAGTCACCATTTTAACCATTTTAAAGTGCATGTTCACAAGGCTGTGCAGCTATACCCACTATCTAGTTTTGGGTATTTTCATAACCCTAAAAAGAAAATCTGTGCGCTTTAAGCAATCACTCCCCTTTCCTTCCTCCCCTCACCCCTTTAATTCTCACTTTTGGTGTTCACCTTGGATGAGGAAAACCCTCTTGCTTTGAAAAGTCTGGGCGTGCATGCTCAGGCAGTTAATTGTGCTCTTTTACATACTCTTAATGACATCACCGTTACTGTGAGTGGCAAAACAAATGTTCTGATCTGCCTGTGAGTGTTTAGTTTCCAACCTTAAATCATGCTTTATTCCAGCAGTCCCCAACCTTTTTGGCACCAGGGACTGGTTTTGTGGAAGACACTTTTTCCATGCACCTTTGGTGGGTGCAGTGTGGTGGTTTTAGGAGGATCCAAGTGCATTACACTTATTGTGCACTTTATTTCTATTATTATTACGTTGTAATATATAATGAAGTAATTATACAACTCACCATATTGTAGAATCAGTGAGAGCCCTGAGCTTGTTTTCCTATAACTAGATGGTCCCATCTGAGGATAGACAGTGACAGATCATCAGGCATTAGATTCTCATAAGGAGTGCATAGCCTAGATCCCTCACATGTGTGGTTCACAATAGGGTGAGTGGTCCTGTGAGAATCTAGTGCCACCGCTGCTCTGATAGGAGGCAGAGCTCAGACGGCAATGCAGGTGATGGGGAGCCACTGTAAATACAGATGAAGCTTTGCTTGCCTGCCATTCACCTCCTGCTCTGCGACCCAGTTCCTAACAGGTCACAGACCAGCACCAGGCTGTGGCCCAAGGGGTGGGGACCCCTGCTTTACTAGGTTTTATTTTTGATAGGGCAAGTTCCTTGTTTATCCCCAGTCTTTGGGGTCTGGTGCTTATGAGAATGGTGGTAGCCGTTCCCCACTGAACATGCTAGAGCATTCTGTATACTTTTGAATCAGCACAAACTAGACACATGCCATTCCTGTCAAACATACCACCTCCATGTGTCTCATCTGAGCTGGAAACTCTTTACTGCCAAGTGTGGCGCCAGGTTCTATTGATCCATCCATTGAAACTGTCTACCAGGATGTTCCTGTTTACAAGGCCAAGGTGATGGACATTGACCTAGCCTTCCCCTCACGCTTTGCTGCCTCGCATTTCCCTTCCTGGTGTCCTCTCCCTGGAGGGACAGAGCCCTGGCCTCTAGCAGCAGATTCTGCAGATCAGCGCATTTTCTGCTCCTGTGTCATTGTGGACACTGCCTGTGGAATGAAGCTTTTAACAGCTACAATCCCTAAAAAGCACAAGAATGCAGTGTGAAATACCATAAAGAGTGCCAGACAGACCCCTGAAGACCTGAACCCAGCCGAGAGGGCTGCTGGCTCCCATGTGACTTTGTGCAAGTTGTTGCTCCTCTCTGATCCCTGTTCCTTATCTGTCAAATGAGGGGGCTCTGCTACAATCTCTGCAGCCTTTTCAGTTCTGAGACTCTACTGTTCTCGGATACCTCTAATAGCAGCTAGGGCCAAGGAGCCAGGGCATAGAGGCAGGCTGTACATGACATTTTATCATTTCAGGGGGCAATTCCCTGTCATTTTCAGTGACCCCACCCCCCGTCAGTGCCTGGCCGGCCTGGTTGGTTGAAACAGGCTCCAAAACAGCCTCCTTGCCTGGATGCTGTAACCAGTCCAGTTACAGTGTTTCCAGATGGGTTTTAGGTACCCAAATAATTCAAATTTCCCCAACTGTGTTGTAATCGTTGTAGTTAGATTTACATGTGCAATATGCCAGGTACTTGATAGGCATTTTATTTTATTTTATTTTATTTTTTGAGATAGTCTTGCCCTGTCGCCCAGACTGGAGTGCAATGGCGTGATCTCGGCTCACTGCAACCTCTGCCTCCTGGGTTCAAGCGATTCTCCTGCCTCAGCCTCCGGAGTAGCTGTGATTACAGGCACGCACCAGCACACTTGACTAATTTTTGTATTTTTAATAGAGACAGGGTTTCACCATGTTGGCCAGGCTGGTCTCGAACTCCTGACTTCAAGCGATCTTACTGCCTCAGCCTCCCAAGGTGCTTGGATTACAGGCGTGAGCCACTGTGCCCTGCCAGGCATTTTCAGTGCTCACAACAACCCTACGAGGTGTGGGTTTTCATTTATGCCTATGAGGACACGGAGATTTGTGGAGAGCAGCATTTGTTCCAGGTCACACAACTGGAAAGAGGCAGAGCTGATGTTCAAACCCAAGTTTGTCCCTCCAGCCAACACCCCACACTGCTTTGGGAGTGGACATGGTGTCTTGAGGCTTGCAGGGTGGGTCACAGGCACCGGAGCAGTGTCTTCAGTGCTGGGGACAAAATCTTTGATGGCATTGAGGGCTTTTACTGGGTGCCAGTCCCCTCACTAAGCACTTGTATTATATCCCCTGCATGGGATTCTGCGAAGTAAAAATTTTAGGTCTCACAGATGAAGGATCAAGCTCAGAGAGGTTAAGTAACTTGCCCAAGGTCTTATGAGCAGAAAGTGGCTGAGAAGCCGGGATTTGAACCCTGGTAGCCTGGTGCCAGAGCCCACCCGTTAACCACAAGCAGAGAGGTTCTTGACATTCTGATCCCATTCATTATGAGGGAGAAAATGTTTCTCTGCTGACAAATTGTTAAATGGAAATTTACCCTCATTTCTCCTGAGCCTTATGGGTGTCACTCTTAAAATCACATATTCAACAAAGTGCCTTATAAGTACTGAGCACTGTGCATGCTGGTTTTATTGTGATGTGTGTATTTGTATGACAATTTAGTGTCATGAGTGATATGCTAGAGGTGTGCCCAGGGTGTGGCTTGTCACTTATTAGCTGTGGGACTTTGAGCAAGCTTCTTAACCTCTCTGTTTTCTCATCTGGGAAATGGGAGCAATGGTGTGTGTCGGCCTAGAGGGTTAGCTCTGATGTGTGTAGGTGCTTCACAAGATGCAGAAGTGTGAAGGGCAGGCATCGCAAAGCAACAGCTAGAAGTAGACTCCGGATAGGCCTCAGTCTCCCGGGTGAGGGTGGCGGAGGCAGTCTTGGGATTTGGGCCAAGTGGCAAAGTGGTGGGACTGGGAATTTTAGACCAGGATGGCTTTTCCTCCGCAGAGCTCAAGCCATCCGCTCAGGTTTTGCTGGCCAAGCAGGCTAGAAGGGCAAAGGGATAGCAGGAGTAAGGGAAACGAATGCAGTGCAGAGAATAGAATCTAGGGCAGATGGGGAGGGGCATCAGGGTGGGAAGGGGCTGAGAAGGAGGGTGCACCGAGGACTGCAGGGCAAGGAACTGGCACAGTGAGAAAGACTTTGGAATGGGAAACAGCACGTGGGTAGGATCAGAGCGTAAGCTGGGGCCAAAGCCCTTAGTGAAGGCAGTGGAGCCCCCCTCTCCATCCCAGGCCTGTCTCCTCTCCCCTCTCCCCGCAGGGCTCCTTTCATTGCTATAGCCTCAGGAACTCAGCCAGAGGGGGCAGCCACTCTCCGTCCCCCAACCCAGCCTCATTTTCCTGGGGACCCAGATGACTAGATAGACTTCATTGGTTTCGAGGTTTTCACAGCTAATTTCTGTAAGGAAACACACACAAGGGGATGTGCCACATTCCTGAAAGTGCTCATGGTTTCTTGCTGACAGGTTCAGTGCCCTTCTCAGAAGGCAAATGTTAGCACCAAAGGGCGTCTGCCCTTTGCTTGTATTACCCTCAGCATGGGGCCCAGTTAAGACTAACACCCTCTCCTCCCACCCAGTTCTGCCTGGAGTTTGACAAGGGTCCGTTATGGTCTGAAGGCCCTTCCACTGGGAGGAGAGTACAGCAGACACCTGTCGCATGGGGCCTCCTGTGCTGTGCTGTAAGGGCCACATGGGTTGGCGGTTAGATGACCCAAGAACACAAGCCTCAGAGGTGAATGAAAGACACTGGTGTGTGGTACTAGGCTAGTGGCAACTGCAGAGCCTCAATGCCAGGCCAACCCCTCCCTCTGCCCACAGGATCCCTGCGTGTTCCCCCTAACTGAAGTGCATCGGCCCAAAGGGGCAGCCTCCTCAGTGAGCCATGCCCACAAGAAGCAGCAAGGATCTCATTCGGCTGTCAAGTGGAGGGAACCGTGGTTGAGATGGTCACATTCAACCTGGACCCTGGGCTCCAGAGGGCACAAAGGGAAAGGCACAGCAAGGAAGCACCCAAAAGACAGGGACCGAGATGGTTTCTCAGCACCATGCATCACTGGGGGACTCAGGGATTCCCTCCCTAATCCCCTGGCCAAATCAAACCAAGTCATCCTTTTTCAGGGATGTGAAAATCTGGGAAATACCATTTTAGGTCAGAGTGGTTTCTGTTTTTTTTTTTTTTTAACTCAATCAAATGTGGTATTTACAGGTTTGTTTATAATTCTTATGTTCTGTACAACTGTACTGAACTGAGTATATCCTGGAAGGAAAAGAAGTCATTTGGGTTTCTGGGTCTGGAGTATCACCTTAGTGTGATTCCACCCAGCAGAATGAAAGGACAGGAGGCAGGTTATTCATATGCTGCTTTATTTCTGTAAGGATACACTGAAACATTAGATGATCATAGCTAATGACAGAATGTAGAAATGAGGCATCAGCTTCTCTAACCACTCCTATAAGAATGTTAGTATGTATTGTCATTACATGTTTACTTTTGATATTGTCTCATTATACTATGTCATATAATAATGTAGAATACAGTTAAGTAGGTGATCCTGCATTTCAGGTAAAGCGGTAGATAGAAATCCAGATTTCCTCTTGAGGATAAGTCCTAGGAATCACAAGAGAAGGGACTTTGCAGTCCTCATTAACACAGGGACACAGAGCAGACAACTACTACGTTACAAGGGATTCAACTCATCACTGTTGGGAAATGTCATAACCATGTTGATGACAGCCCTGGCGCCTGCTCAACTCCCCCTCTAGAGTTTGGCGGTTACTTCTGTAGGATGAATTTCAACACTGCAGGAACATCTGAGGGGGGCTAAAATATTTTCATGCAAAGTTTCCAAACCCATAAACTATTTTACTATCAATTAAAAACAAACAAAAATTTAATTAAAAGCAATAAAAAGGACAGCAGGGTTAGTTTTGTTAAGCTTCCAGAAGTATCTGTGGTGACGATGTTGCTCTGAAACAGGCTCGTTTTCTCAGGTCTGCCTACACTTCCCAAATCACCTGCATGTTCCATGCTTTAAAGTAGGAACGCTCAGAAACATGCCACACGGGGAAACCAAACGTTAGTACGGGGATAGGTCAGTTTAGAATTACAGCTAAGTTCAAATGTTAATTTTCTGGAAATTCATGTTAGTCATTTGAAAGCACAAAAGAACAGAAGGAAGGGCAGAGTTCTGATGAGGAAGTTAAGCCATGCATGTCAGTAAGTTCTTTTCCTGCTCACAGAAGAGGGTGAGCAGTTGAGTCGGAGCAGCCGCTCCGACTCTGGCATGTCGCGTGTCTACACGGTGGGTCCCAGCTGAGGCATGAGAGGCAGCTCAGTGGGCGCTTTATCTCATATGCTTCTTGCTTACATCACTAAGTGGCTAAATGATTAGCACTTTTCTGCTCTATGAGAAACATGCAGAAGAGTCAATCTACCTAAGTTTTTTTTTTTTTTTTTTTTTTT